CCCAGCCTGTCCTCCCAGCAGAGGGGCTCCAGCCCTCCCAGCATCTTCATGGCCTCCTCTGGAACCCAGCAGGCCCATGTCTTTCCTATGTTGGGGACCCCCAGAGCTGGACGCAGTACTCCAGGTGGGGTCTCCCCAGAGCGGAGCAGAGGGGCAGAATCCCCCCCTCGCCCTGCTGGCCACACTGCTGGGGATGCAGCCCAGGATACGGTTGGCCTTCTGGGCTGCGATCGCCCATTGCCAGCTCATGTTGAGCTTCTCATCCACCAACACCCCCAAGTCCTTCTCCTCAGGGCTGCTCTCCAGCCATCCTCCGCCCAGCCTGGAGTTGTGCTTGGGATTGCCCCCACCCACGTGCAGGACCTTGGCCTTGGCCTGGTTGATCCTCATGAGGTTCACACGGGCCCACCTCTCCAGCCTGTCCGGGTCCCTCTGGATGGCATCCCTCCCCCACAGCGTGTCAACCACTCCACACAGCTCGGTATCATCGGCAAACTTGCTGAGGGTGCGCCCAATCCCACTGTCACCTGCTGTCCTGTTCTCCAAAGCTTTATGAAACCAAGGGGCTTTGGTTAGAAAGCGCCCTGCAGAGGCGGGTGGGAGAGACACTGAGCTGGTGCCAGCGCGGGTGGGGGGCTGTGCCAAGAGACCCCTCCGCTTTGGGTGCACTTACAGGGGTTCATACAATAGATGTTGAAGGGCAGGGGGTTGCGTTCAGGTAAGACAATATGATATGCATCGGGCTTCCTCCTGTACTTCTAATTATTTTGCGGCTTTGCATTAATTAAAAAATATTTCTTTGGCAAAGATGTTTTGAATCATTTTAATTATAAAGTGGTACCAAGGGGGAAGTAGTCACAGATGGCAGATCGTGGTGGAACTGTTGCCTTATCGTAGTCAGCAAACAAGAGGACTACAGCTGGAAAAAGTAGCGAGTGTAATGAGGGTGTTCCACCTTCAGAGATCGATCGGTCTGCGTTTGTCACGCGGAGACCCGGGCAAGGGCTGTGAAGTACAGCTCATCCTGTAAAAGGAGCAGCCTCCTTTTACATTTTGTGACACACAGGCAAAACACTATTTTTTAAAAAAATCCTTACTTTTAAAAGTCCTCCGTGACGTGCCCTCTGTTACCCCTGGTGCTGCTCTTGCTGTTAAAGCGTGGCTGGCAGGAGCGGCGGAGCCGTGCGTGTCCCTGGAGGCGACGTGTCCTCCCTGCCCGGGGAGGAGGAGATGCTCTGCTCTGCCGGTGGCGGAGGGCTCGTTCTGTAGGCTGAAAGCACAGCCAGCCCTGCGGTGGCCTGTCCCTTCTCAGACGGGCACTGGATGAGATCCAGCAGGCTCTTACTCTACTCCAGTTTTCCCAAGTTGGTGTAGGGCTCTCGAGCACATCTGCACACTTCCATTTATCCGGACACTGGGTCCTCACGGGCTGATCCCGAGAAGGTCCAACACTGAGAGCTGAGACTTGGCTCTAAAGATCTTGTACAGTTTTTATGTTCTGCCAATCCTGGAAGAGCTCTTTTCCTGAATACGCTCCAAAGGACCCTTGAACTTGATGAGTTTCTTTTTTTTTCTGGAACCAGTTATCAGGTTTTGTTCTGTACGTAAACTGTGTGGGGTTGGTGCTGGAACACGCCAACCTCCTCTATCACACCTGAAGAAACTTGGTATATTTTGTGAAACCGTCTTTCTGACCATCTTCAGGATTCAGATTCCCCATGTGGCTGAACCTGAACATTCTGAAATGTGCTCAACATTCTCGCTGGGACACCTGTACGTAAGGCGCTGTGATGGCGCTGGAGCGGGTGTTGGTGTGCTGTGGGTAGTCCAGAGCATCGAGCCAAATAATCTTAGCGAGGGGTCAGCGCTCTTGAGTGTTAGAGGAGCGAGGCCGGTGCTCTCCGTCCCTGAGCGGAGCAGAGGGGAAGGGAACCTTCAGTAATGTCTGCGCGGCTCGTGCTCTGCGCTCTGCCGGGACCGGTCCCTTCCCACAGGCGCCTTCTGCATCTCGCACATGGAGATGGAGGGAAACACGCTGCTTTAGCTCAGCCCTCTTCACATCTTGGAAAACAGAGCTTCGTAGAAATTTTAAGCAAATCGGTTTCCTTGCAGAAAAAGATGGGAGGGAAATCAAAGGTCAGCTATAACTACGGTATTGCAGGTGGTTTCTCTTTGTATTAATTAAGAAAATGATAAAGTAGTATAAAACTTCACCCAAAGTCTTGTTTTTACTAAGTTGAGTGTAAAGTCATTAGAAATGTGCTCACCTAATGCATCCTTCTCTCTTGTGTTGCAGATAAAAGAATACGAGAAACTGGATTCTGAGGATGAGCGCATGACCCGAAGTCGGCAGATTTATGATACGTACATAATGAAGGAGCTCCTCTCCTGTTCACACGTGTGTATCACCCAAATTTCCCTCTGTTCTTTGCCTTACTTGAGCAGCTTGACAGCAGCCATAATTCAAAATAACCGCAGTTTCAAAACTAACCGCTATTTCATTCAAAGAACAATTAAAGACTATTGCTGAAGGAATTGTTCCTACAAATAGTCGTAGTGCCGTGGACTTCCGTTTGCAGTCCGTGGGACTGGCTTTGGCTGGGTTCAGCATGCTTTTTGCTTTGTTTTTTTTTGTTTTTTTCAGCGATCAGATGTAACGATTGGTGGTGTGTGCCAATTTTTATTAAACTTGGTGGTACGCAAAAGAAATACTTGGAGATTTATCTGGTTTATATTTCTTTAAACTAAATCTCTATTTTAAACGATAATGAGTGCAGTTTGTATGTATACATACATGCACATATATATACATTAATCAACCCCCCTCCAACCCAGCAACAACCCTGCCCCCAAAAACGCAAAGAAATGCGAGTTGCTGGGGGCTCTGCGGGACAGTTTGGGTGTTGAACTTTGGTGGTGTCTCTGAAAACTTGGAGTAAAGGTTGAGATTTTGTCTAAAAATGATCACAGAAGGATATTATTATTATTATTATCATTATTATTTTGGTTGTAAAGCAGTCTTTCATACCATACTAGAGCCAATACACGTTTTAGCTGCAACACGGTAAGTCAAAGGCGTGGGGCCGCGTTGTGACAGATGCAGCTTCGGTAAAGTCAGTGAAATCACACATCTCCTCCAGCTGAAGTTTTGGCCCGTTGAGCTGTATTTAAGTCTCATTTGCTCTTATCTTAAAGAAGAATTTGCAGGGCCTTTTACCCTAGTGGTGTGGTTCTGTGGGAGAAGGGTCAAAGTAATTTTTTGTGAAGCGTGCGTGACTGGTTCTGTAGTGCTGAAAAGTCCATTCTACTCCCCAAAGTAGAAGTCTGCTGCTAAAAAGTCCATGTCTACTTCTGTCTCTGGAGCTCTCCCCATCTATGGGATTTTCATTAATGCGTTAAAGGAGCATCATGCAGCCCGTTTATCTTCACCTCCCTCCTCCTCATCTTCCCCTCTCCGGCCTTCCCGCTTTAGAGTAATTATTTTGCTGGGTGGATCTCCATGTGTGACAGTCGCGCGGTGGGAAGCTGCGCTGCCTTCGTTCTGAAGTGTGCCTATTTTTCGTATGCTGAAAAGACCAATGACGCTGTAGACTTTAAATGAAGCTTCTGACGTTTCCAACTGTTTGAAATCTTTCTTTTTCTTTTTCAAAAGCCTTTTTCAAAACAAGCTGTAGATCACGTACAGACACATTTAGCCAAGAAACAAGTGCCCGCCAGCCTTTTTCAGGTGAGGTTGAGACAGTCTGAATGTTCAAGTTTTCTTCGCTTCTTTGACATTAAGTGACTCTGTGCGTATTATTTAAGGAGGCGGAATAAAATGGTATTGGTACATACTCTTTGCTGTAACAGTGGTATTAGCATGCTTTTCTGAGTCAAATAAAAATTACAAATTACTATTCTCATCTGAAATATTTTAAAGCACGTTTATGAAAGCAACCTGTACCTTGGTATACGAGCAGAATAGTTTTAAATTTAAGTAATTTTAAGTCATTAAATAATTTAGAGTAAATCACTTCACATCCTGCCAGGATAAACCAAACTGCAGAGTGGAGAAATTGCCTTAATGTTTCAGTAATGTGAAATCTCTGAAAACATTTTGCCTTTAATTTTAAGGTATATTAATTTCTCGTTGACGATGGTGTGGAATTAAGCGTTTGTGCCATCTCGCATGTTTTTCTGTCTCTCCGCAAGACAAAATCCAGTTAAAAGTTACCTTTCTAAAGCGGAGTTTCTGCACCATTAAAATTACGGTGTTTTTTAAAAACTTTCTAAAATTCTGAATTGTTACAAGAAAGTATAGGATTTGCATATCTGCCATTTGAATATAAAAATAATTGGTATCCTGGCTCGTTTGCGAAATGACACATCTTTTGTGTTGTTATTTACTTTAGAAAATAATGAGGAATAAAATCTTTCTTGTGTTACAACTCTAATGTGCATTGTCACGAGACAAGAAGTTCAGATATATGCTGACTTTTGTAGGTAGGTGCGTGAGACCGCTGTGGTTTTGCACACAGTGAACCTCATCAATAGTGGGAGTGTTTATAAGCTGATATGTCTTTGAATTAAATCTTGCATTTTTTTACATATTGCAAGAACGTGAAGATTGCCCTGGCTTGATTTTTCGTACTGCTCAGTGAACTGTTTATAATGTCGCAATTAGATGAACTGACAAATTGACAACTCCGTTGCTTGAGTTATATCTCGCCGCTAATTGGGATTGGAGGTCGCTGCATGCGAGCACACATCAGGAGAAAGTATTTCCCTCGAAAAAGTCACTCGGGAACCGAAGGAGCAGGTTTCTTAGTAAGGACAGGGAGGAGAGAAGTGCCGACAAGCTGAAGCGTGGCCGCGGCTCTGGGAAGCGCAGACTCCGCGGGAGTGGCCATGTACTGTATTTCAGTGTATTTGAAACAAAGAACCGTACTGACATCGTTTCGTCAGCCGTGCTCTCCGTAGGCAGGTGCCGTACACAGGATTTGTGTGCACCCCCCCGAGGCAAACATTTAAGGTTTTCTAGCTCATGAGAATACTCCCTGTTTGACTTTAGCGCACCAGCTCATGTTCCAAAAGCTAAATGGAGCTTAAATGCTTCATGGGGCGTTCTTCAAGGAAAACGCAGCAAACGCTGTGGTTATGTAGGGCCAACGCGAGGTGTGTGCAATGGTAGTATTGCAGAAACAGTTTATTGTGTGCTTAAATACTAATTGTGTTTCTTAACCCTTTTTTAGCCATATATAGAAGAAATTTGTGATAGCCTCCGAGGAAAAATATTTCAGAAATTTATGGAAAGGTATGAACGTGACATATCTGAACTTTTTCCCTAATGTGGCAGGAAGCCAGGTGCCTTAAGTATAAGGCTAAAAATGTTAAGTAAACTTCATTTAATTAATAGTGTATTATCAGCAAGCTTCTGCAAACGACCAGCTTGTTGTATATCGTGATTCATGTCAGGATGCACAAGTGAAAAAATTGTCAAGATGAGAGGTTTTTCTGCTGCTCCGTGTAGCAGTAATAACAGATTGCAGCTAGAGCTTAAAGTTTAAAAAAGTTTAAACCTTAAAGGTTTAAATATGCGGAACTACGTTCCTGTGGGATGTGCTCCTGAGTAACCGTCTCTCGTGTGTGACTGAAGGATCCAGACTGGGTTGTATCTGGACACCTTGCAGTTAAGCAGAAGGGGTGCCGTGAGGAGCCGGAGGGGTGGCCCTGGCGCAGCGGGGCAGCCCTGGGCACCCTGACGCGCTGCCGGGGCCGCGGGGTCGGCGGAGCGTGGCTCTCACCAGCCACCGCCAGACGCACCGTGTAAAACGCTGCGGTGGTGCTCTGCACTCAAACCGAGACGCTTGGAGAAACGCCTCCATAGGACTGTTATTTCTTACTCCGAAAAGAAATACTTAATTATTTATGTAGAAATGAGAAACTGGTTGGTTGTTGGGATTTTTTTGGCAGCAGCTTGTGGTGTTATTGATGTTTTTCCTATTTTAAGAAGAAATGAGTTTAAAATGTTCCTTGGGGTATACGGAGGTTCATTAACATAAATCGAGCCGCCTCTGTTTTCTTATAATTATCTTTCTCTTTATGTAATTTAAATGTTTGTTAGTTCCAAACTTAGTTGTTTTTAAAAATTAAAAACCGTCTGAGAGGGATGTGAGGAGGTACTCAGCACTTACAATTACAGGGGTAAGGTTATCTGGTATCTTTCTCTTACAAGGATGTAAAATATTAAGTGTGCGCTGCCTAGTAATTGTTTTTCTTGGTGGGGGTAAGATTACAATCGTTTGAAAGGAAGGCTGTCATTTAATAAATATCGCAACACGCCCTAGCGCAAACTTTATTTTAAACGTCGGAGTCTTGACGTTTTCGGTAATACTTTACACAGTAGTCTCAGACAACTTTTAAACTTTTTTTCCTACAGTGACAAGTTTACTAGATTCTGTCAATGGAAAAACGTAGAACTAAATATTCATGTAAGTACTTACAAGTATATTTATCTTGTCAAAGGCTGATGGAGGAAGGAAAATGTTCAGTTTTGAATACTGCTTCTGAAAAGGCCTTATTAAAGAGTACAGTGAACGTTACTGATCTGCTCTGCTATCCGTAGGCGTCCAGTCCGAACCGTTCCTTTCTGGCCGGCCCTTCTGCCTGTCTGGCTGTAACAGCTTTTTGATTTTTATAATGGCTGAAAGAAACCGAGCTGCCAGAATTGCGTCTCTGTGTCAGCCCCAGCCACCGTCTGTCCCCTTTTCCCGGAGGGTTCTGCCGGTGTCCCCGGCACCCCGTACCTCGGCCTCTGCTTTTGTCCCTCTGCGCTGCTCTGTTACAGCTTTGCCCGCAGAAATAGCCCTCCTCTCTGCAGACCGCAGTCTGAATGAGACTGTCCGTCTTTGGCAGCGACAGTCTCATTCCTCTTGTTTGTACTTCAGACTGTAGCGCTTGCAAGTACCTTGAGATGTAAACAGCGAGAGGCTCCTTCTTCCAAAACAATAAATGCTTTATGAATTACAGTAATTAAATATCTTAACGCATTAATAGGTTATTTAGATATTTTTACTGTAAGCTTTTTAGTACTGAAATATGAAGTCTGATTTCATTTTCTTTTGTTTTTTTCATTTACAGCTGACCATGAATGATTTTAGTGTACATAGAATAATAGGAAGAGGGGGATTTGGTGAAGTGTACGGCTGCAGAAAAGCAGACACTGGAAAAATGTGAGTATAGACACACTTGATTTTAGAGGTAATTGTAAACTCTGAACTAGTAAGGAAATGCTTCCAGTCATTTCTTACAAAATCACTGGAAAGTGGCGTCACGTTACTGTGTAGTTCTTTGTAATTAAATTTTATCCCAAGAGGTTCTGATTTTTGGGTCATCTTTAAGCTTGGTGTGATACTTGATGCTGTTCCGTGCCATGCAGTGGGGCTGCAGTCTAGCGGAGCTCGTAAGCACATCCTTCATTTCAATGGTCTTGTCAAAATAAATGGAGACCGCACACGTGTTTAAAATTAAGTATGTGCTTAAATGATTTCCTGGATCAGAGCCTGACGGTGCAGAGCGATGTTCTAGTGGACATCGTGGTGATTGTGTGAGGCATCACCTCTCCGCTGCTGAAGGTTGCTCTCCTCGCAGCACCGTGCGGCACGTAGCTGGTGCTGGCGCGGGGTCGGAGGATGACCCGGGAGCCCCACCTCGGTGCTCTCCAGCCTGCCGGGTCGTGCCTGGGCAGATTCTGACTGTGGTATCTGAGGTTTGCATGATTCCATACGTTTCTGCCCTGCTGAGCGTGTTTCACTGGCGAAAGCAGTGATCCTTGCTTACATTTGGAAGAATATAGTTCCAGTGTTGAACTTCTGTTTAGCAGAGCTCTCGGTGGGAACTCCAAGATCAACCCTATCTGGTTTTTTTCTTTTTCTGGTCTTACCATTTGCACACTTCTCCTAATCAGCAGATTTCAGTCTCTAGGCATAATTGTCCCATTATGTCCTGTTTTGAACGTCTGGGCATTGATTTAACAAATTGTTCTCAATATCTATTTATTTATATATTTGCACCCCACCCTCCCCTTTCATCTTGCTTTTCTCCTGACAATTTTAGCCCAGGGACCATCCTTAAGCATTTCTCTTCTGAGTAAGCCTGCCGCGTTTGAAGTGCCAAGTCTCTGCAGTTACTGGCTTCACTGTCAATTGTGTGTGCTTGGCGTCCTTGATGATAATCAACTTCTGAGCTGTTAACAAGTGGAAGACATCTTAATGTTGCTATCATGCTCAGTATTTTTGCGGTGACCTTAAGGATTTCTATTAATACGGTTACTAACAGTACTGTCTTTATTCTTGCTTTGGTCCTTTTTTGTCCATGTACAATTTGTTAGTTTGTCCATGTACAAAATAAACGTTTTCTTTAGGCTGAGCCACACTAGGTGGACATCCACCCCGAAGAGGTAGTTCTCAGATTCCCAGTCGTTTTCATGTCTGAGTTTTGCTCTGGCAGGAGGTGGATAAGCCTTGGGACTAGCAAGGGAAGCGAAGGGCAGTTTTTATTAGATATAAATAGAGTGAAGGGAAGTGAAATGTGGGAAAAAACAACCTTCTTCAAATTTGAAGCAAAACTTTAGATTAGGTTCAGTTTCTGGGTAGAGGTTTGGTTTAGTTCTTTCTTAATCCAAACCTGTTTACCCATCCCTAATCCAGATCCCGTCCACTCTAGATGGCTGCCTCTGCTGCACTTACTGCCTGCAAGGAGCGTGGGAAGCCACCCCTCCAAGGTAACTGCCATCGGTGTTTCACTAACCCACAAAGATACACCCGAGGCTTCTTTCACATCACCTCCTTTAGGGATGTCTAAATAGGGGCCAGAAGTACGATGCAGAAAGCAGTCCGGAGGGCGGCGGGGGTAGCGGTGCGTTTTGAGCACGCAGCTCCATGTAGGACCGAGATCCTTGATTTCTGTCAGCTGTAAACGGCCCCACTCCTTCCCTCTGGTCAGCGATGGCAAAGCATAAACAAAGGGTGGCATGTGGAACGTTACTTACAGTCATCATTTACGGACTCCTCAGCAAGAGCATGTGCTGTGCGTATAGTCCTTGTTCCCCAAATGTAAAATTCCAGTGTGTTCACGCTCACTCTTCCCCGACTCACAACACATGCATGGCAAGGAAAGATGTGGCTTTTTTAGGGGGTGCGAAGGGAAGGTGACACGAGGCCCCGGTTCTGTACAGAGCTGTCCCGGTGTAGGCAGTTGATGAGCATTGATGCAGTGCTGTAACACGGTGTTTTCCTGAGCGTATTTTAAAACCAGTGGCCTAAAAATCCGTGGTTGCCCATGTCTCGAAATCTGCTGTGGAGGAACACACGTGGCCTTCTGAGCTGGTGTCTAATAGTAGGCTCACCTAATGTCTTGAAAAAATGTCCAGACTCTGTTATATCCTGCTCTTGTTCGATGGTTGTTAGGGTAACACTCTTTTTTGAGCAAAATTTTATTAATTTGTGCAATACAGATGGTAGAAGATTAAAAAAAGCTTTCTTGTGTATATCTGACCTTTTTTTGAGTAGAAAGAAAACTTAAAAAAAATAACATATAAAACTCAGCATGTGTTCGAGATATTACTTTCCTGGTAGAGCTGAAAACGTTAGAATTAAATGGAACCGTAACAGAGTCTCGTTATTTAATTCAAACTGCAAATCCTTGCTTGTAGGTATTAAGAAATGAACGTATGATATGTAATTCCTATGTCACTGTGGTTGTTTGGACACAGCATTATTTGTTAAAGCACATTTCTCTGTTAGGAGGCTTCTCTTGAAAATGTTTTCGTTCTGTGAGATTTTGGAGGTTTTCTTGTTTAGTCATGTAATGATGTTTTTAGTACTGGCTTTAAGTCTTTAAAGAGCTTGCTTACAGGATATTGTAAATATGCATGGCATAACTGCTAGTGAATGATACTGACTATAGGAGGAAATTTTTTCTGGTGCTTTTTCTGAACAGTTAATATTTTCAGGTATGCAATGAAATGTTTAGATAAGAAGAGAATCAAGATGAAGCAAGGAGAAACATTAGCCTTAAATGAAAGAATTATGCTGTCTCTTGTCAGTACAGGAGTAAGTATCATTGATTTCTTATTCTTTTTTTTTTTTTTTCTTTCATATTACGTATAAACTGTTACATATAGTACATATTCCACCAATTCAGTTGTGTGACATGCAGAAGTTAAACCGCCCCCCAGCACCTTCCCCCTGATTCTAGCACTGCGTCTGAAATAAGAATGGAGAAGGAAGTTTGCTTTTCAGTTTGGGTGCTTACAGAAATCGGTATCTCATCTAAAGAGGTTTGAGGAGATTCCCATTTCTTAGGTAATTCATTCTATCTCTCCCCAACCCCTTTGCCTTTCTTTCTCCTCTTCCCCTTCTGTTTTTTTAAATATTCCTTTTTCAGGTATTTATATCCGAAACTTTTCCAAAACATTATTCTGTCTTGTAAAGCAATTTCCTTTTCTGCTATAGTTACATAGCACTTTTGTAGACTATAAGATGCTACTTCAGAAAAACCTGCAGTTACTTGTTCTTCCTCCCTTTCCTGTGACTCTCATATTAGCTTACCCAATTTTTCCGTTTCTTTTTTTCACGTACTTTAGCTGAGTACCTCTCAAGGTGTACCGAGTCAGTCTGCCCACCTAGCATGCAAGGCTATTGAAAATGAGAAGTATCACTAACGTACATAAAAAGCAATCAACTGGCATTGCTTTCACCAGGCCATGGCTTGGTACCGGCAGAAGAGAAGTTTGGCAGCGGCCACGGGGTGTTGTGCTCAGGCAGCTTCAGGCTTTGAAGTGCCAGAGCCTCTGAGTACGCTGTCCTCATTAAACACAACTTGAAACGGGCTTGTGTCGCCATGGTTACGTGTGATGCTGGTAAAAAGGTTAATTTTCCTCATGACTGTTGTGGTGTAGGAATTAAACATTCGGTTTTGCAGCTCAGCGTTAAGGCGTCCCCTTTTCCCAGCGCAGTTCAAGCCTGAGAAGGAATTGCGGGTGGCTTTGTTCTAGGCTGGTGCAAGGGGTGTGTGAATAGTGTAATACCTGCGGGGCAGGAGGATTGCTGCCAGCAGAGAGCAAACACTGTGCTCTGCTCTCAGATAAGACCTGTATCTCGCAAAGACTAAGTAAATCCTGGGTTTGGTTCTGCATTACCCAGGTGGGTTAGTAAATACTGATTTGTTTTTAAAAAAAATCCCACTTGTGATGCATTTAGCATCGTTCTGTCCTTTAAGCGCACGCGCAGCATCCTTGCTGTCTTCTGCTGTTCAGGGAGCCCATCTGTTGTGGTTTGGGCTGAGCTGGCCACCAGAGGAACGACAGATGCTCTCTTTAACCTCTCTCCCTTCCACCACCTCCTCCGGCTGTGGGATCCTGCGCCTCAAACCAGGACACGTCGGTCAGATCGAGCTTCAAGCTGGGCTCTCCTCGGCCCGCGGGTGGGCTGGGACTTCGCACAGCTGCAGGAGAACTGCCCGTGCTGTGGTGGCCCTTGTCTCCTGCAAACTTGGCTTTAAATAATGGAGCCGTGTTTTTCAGGGCTTACTTACAAATAGAGAATCTTAATTGCTGAACAGTGCCCTTCTGTTGTCAAGTGAAAACACTGTGAATCGGACAAGACTTGGTACTTCTCAGCCTCACAACGGGCATGTGAGATGCTCTCTTGTGCAGATTGACGGAACGGGAAAGCTGATTGCCATTTTGTCCCTTGAAGATCAGCTTTTGAACTTTTTGTGCTGTCCTGGTAAGGCAAATCCCAAACCAGAAACTAGGGAAGCTACACATCAAGGTCTCATCGTAAGGTTGAACTTTTTTCTTATTGAAAAGCTCCAAAGGCAGGACGAGGTATTTCTTCTTGTGCCTTTCATTGGAAACCCCTCCCCTGCCTCAGCCCTTCTCTGGAGAAGGGCAGGCGTGCGCTGAAATGAAAAGTCAGAGCATTTCCTTTAACATAGAATCGTGTTCACGCTTGGCTTCGGCATGAAGACAGAAAAACGATTGGAAAGTATTTCTTTGTTCTTTTATCTTAAAAGTAGCAATTAGACTTTTTAATCAAGTTAACTCTTTTCACTAAAGGTAAGTTGTGGCTAGTCCAAAAGTGTCGGGAGTCTCGAGGGGCAGTGGGGTGAAGTTCTGTAGCAGAGACCAGACAAGAAGTCTAGGCAAAATTAGTAATAATTGTCCTATTAACTTTAATTTGTGATTCTGTTGCTCCAGTACTGAATGTGAATTTTCATGTCTAGCGATTCGAAAAGAAAATTGTTCACAAGGCTGCTAATGGTGGAGCGAGTTTCCTTCGGTGACAGCGCACAGCCAGTCATTTAGCAACAGAAAAGCGAGACAAACCATTTGTTTTTTCCGTTAAGGATCATCAGCTCATTAGAGTGTAACTTCTTTTAGATTCTCAGAAATTTGAAAGAGGGTTTGAAAAGAGAGATTTTGTACAAAAGGCTACCCATTCAGGTTAGGTACACCTGCTGGTGCAGGAGGTGCTGCAGCGTTTTGAATATGCAGAATTAAATAGGTTTGAAAGGGGTAGAATAAGATAATTCATTTCGTTCCTGACTGTAAGCTGTTCTGTTTGAATGGCGTGTGCCTTCCCCAATGACGGGATTTATGTGCTGCCCGGAACAAAATGGAACTGGGAAGTTCATCATAGTACAATTAGTCATTTAACTGGGAATCCAGATGTCTCTGCAAAATACATAATAACAGCTGCGCAGATTACACAGACGTTTGTGTAATCATTTTTGTTAATCCACCTAAAATTTTGGCATTCGCAACTACTTATTCAATAGGGAGCTCCCAAATCTCAGTACATCGTGGCCACCTTGTGAAAGCAGCTTTTCATGGTAGCGTTTTGAACCGACGTGGCTCAGAAGTGCAACAGACACCTCTACGGTGCGCCGGGAGCTGCTTGGCTTTGCCTTGAGCCACAAATGGTGGGTTCTGCATTACTCGGGGTCTCCGTTGGTGCCTTCGCCTGGTCACTGACCACTGGTGTAACGTGGACGAACTGCTGCCGAGGGCTGCGTTGCCCCTTTTGCACCCCGCAGGCCCTGTCTGCCTCTCCCGTAGAGATGTTCAGTCGTGTGGCTGGAAATGCAGTTTGAAATTCTTAGAAGAGAGCATAGTAGGGAGGATATTTTACTTTCTATTAAAAGAAAAAAATAAATTATTTTCTGTAATAGCCGTATTTGCCTAATGTTAGAAAACGGTAAGATTGAAATCACCGAGACCGTCACTGCTGATGGAGTGCGTAAAACAATCTGCCAAAAGGTGCTGTGCGTGGCAGGCAGTGGTTATTTAGTAAAACCTTCCCTGGCAGGTAGGAGGTGGTCATTCCCCCAGTCTTGTTCAAGACCAGGGGCCTTGCGGGGCTGTGGCTGCGCTCTGCTGTGTCCTCTAGTTCTCTCGTTCCAAAAAAATTAGGCAGTTAAGCTGTTTTACTCATCGCTTTTTGAGATAATTTGACTAAATATTGGATTCGAGATTCCCTCATGGATGATAAATATAAGGTACAGCAAAAGTGGAAAGGCTGAACCATAAAATATCTGAGAGCAATGATCAAGTATTTTATTTCTGAGAAGAACAGGTACTTTGTTTTCACGTGTACCAATATCTGTAAGAGTCTTGAGTTCGCTCAAAAAAACTGGAATCTATTCCCAAATCTTGGTAGTCACTTGAAGAAACATCCTGGGGAATGGCAGATAACAGTGCGCTGTTTCAAGAGTTGACCTGCACATCTTTGTGAGCGAGACCCCTCAGGACAGAGCTGCTCTTCAGTTGAACACGCTACACGGCTGCTCTGCGCTCTCAACACGTTTTTTACCCGTTTGCGGTCATTTCTGTGGTTGTGCTTTAAAGCCGGCTGCTCGGGTTACAGGAAAGAGTCAGAATCAACGTCTTCCTTCTGAAGAAACTGTTAGGGTGCTAATGTCTTTAAAATATTACATTCCTACACTTTTTTTATAGTTATTCTAATTTTTTTTTCCTTCCACATTATTTATTACCAGAAATTTGTCTTCAACAATGTTTTGGACTTAATCCAGGATTGTTTGGGTGTGAGGAACTGTTTTTAAAGGAGTCTTAATTCACACATTGTTGTCATACGATCGCTTATTTTTTCAGAGCAGAAGCTTGACTGCAACAAAGGATTACTCTCTTGCGAAATTTGCTTTATTGCTTTATGTTTCATTTAAAAAAAAAAACTATAGGTTTTTTTGTTTGTTTGTTTTGTGCTGGAAAATACTCTTTTGCAGTGGTTTTTGTGTCAGAAGAATATCACAGTACTACATTTCTTCTCTCGGTTGAACAGTGAGGGTAGTGATTAAATTAGGAAGGCTCACACAAAAATGAATTATGCGTCACATTTACATTTGCAGTTACGTTTTCTTTTAAAAAATGAGATCCATAAAAATATAGGCATACCATGTTCTGGTATAAAAACACCCTTTTATTTTTTCTATGTGTGGTATTTAAATTCTAACACTAAGTCCTTCTGGGTAAACAGATTGCTGTAAGATTTTAGGAAGCCTGCCTGGGGACACTTTAGAGTTATCCAGTTGATTCAGAAAATTAAGTTAATAATTCTACTAAAGCTTTCGTTCTGAAGTTAAGCGGTAGCTACGCTCGTCTGCAGTTGCAGTACACAGTTTATGACGAGAGGAGGTATCTTTTGTTAGGTGCCATGCTGCCGTGCCTGTAGCCCTTATTTCCAGGGCCGTGCAGCGGGGAGGCGTTTTTCCACGCGTGCTTCCCCGGGGCGTTGCGACGGGCACGGCGTTCCGCAGAGCTGGGAAACACGGCGCAGGGTCAGCCCATGGGCTGCGGGCGTCGCTGGGGACTGCAGCCGGGCATACGAAGCTTTATATTCCACCCTGAGGTGGTTTTGCGGAAGGATGAACCCACTCGAGCCGTGCCGGGCAGTGTCACCGTCCCCTCCCTTTCCCGCCACCACCGCGCTGCCCACGGCCACCGCGCCCCGGAGCT